AAACCGGAGGGTTGGTCATAAAAATGAGAGGGAAATTAATGAGGAAAGGAGAGGGAGGGTGGGAGCATGGGCAGGAGGGAGTGCAGGGTGGGAAGTATCACTGTGTTCATAAACCTGTATATATAAAATACATGAAATCTGTTTGCCTTAAATTAAAAAATGCCAAAAATAAAGGAAGCAAGCAAAACATAGCAAAAAAAAAAAAAGGAAAAGCTGAAAATTCGACCTCATCAAGGTCACATTGATAAGTTTTTACTAAGCAGAATTACTTAAAAGGCATTTCATTTTTGTGTTCCCATCCTTCTCCTTGTTTTCCCTTCATCTACTCACGCATTCTTTTGTCATGAACTTAATATGATCTCTGCTTCTACGGTTATCAGTGTATCTTCCTGTGTGTTCCTCTTTTGATCAATTCTAAGGGTCTGAAACCATATTTTGGCTCCCATCTCTCTCATTTACTAGTCATATGATCATAAGAAAAATGCACTACCACTCTGAAACTCACTTTCCAAATATTTAAAATGTAGAATAATACTACTTTCCTTGTTTATGCCAAAGCATACTTACCTTCAAAAAATATCGAATCATTAAAATATTTATATATTAATCAAACTTTTATAAATAAAGTTTCTAAGTTTTAAATCTTATGCAAGTTTATATTCTACACACTTTGACACACTTAATACTGTCTATTATCTTTCCACCACTGCCTTTAATTTCAATTAATTAATATCAAATTATCAACAGCAGGACCCCTTCATCTATAAATTGACCTATTTTTTCTCAGGAATTTTTCTCTGTATTTCCCTCTTCTCTCCCTTTTCTATTTGAACATTTCACATACGTTTTATATTACCCTAGTTAGTAGCAACTAACTGTAATTTTGCTATTCTTATCTATTGAACAAAAGTAGAGCAAACTAATATTAATTAAATTCTCATCCTATTTGGCAGGACGGCGGGTCTTTTGAAAGAAATCATTATGGTTGGCCTACTTACTTTTAAATTATAAAATTTACTATAGTCTGTGGATGAATCAAACATGGTTCTTTTCTTTTTCTTTATTTTCCCTTTCCCATAGCATACATGCCGCTGTCATGACAGGGCCTTTTTGCAAGTCAGAGTGCACTCAGTTAAAGTCACCCATGTCATGGCCCTCTGCATGCCTAGGGCTATGCTTTGTGTTCCATTCCCATTATTTTTAACAAGCAGTCAGAATAGTATTTGTCCATACAAATGCCCCAGTACTTTAGGTATATCATAGAGCTACTTTAGGCTTATCACACATTCTAAAACAGCAATTTTAGAACATTTCTATTCCCAAGACTCATCTAGAAATGTCTGGTAAGACTATCTTTTTGTCATTTGCTGATAGTCTTTAAAAGAAAATCAAATGAAAGCACATGTTAACAAAGCGAAAATTATGCTGGTAGGCTTAATTGTTTTGTTTGAATTTGTTAAGCAGCTTTCAGGACAAGTCAGATATTTCTTGGAAGTTCATTAAGCTGTCCTGAGGGAGAAATGATAAAGTTATTTCTTGACTAAAGCATTGCATTTTAAAACAACACAAGTGTCAGGATAGTGGGGTGGAGAGACCCTGTTCCAAACACCTTATTTACACTTGATGAGGTCCCATTTTCATTTTAAGTCTTAATTTTTATTTTCCAAATAAATTATTCTACTATAGGCTATGGTGTCCAACATGGATGCCATTAACCACATGTGACTATTAAAATTAAATTAAATTAAAAATTCAGTCCCTTAGCAGCACTAGCCACATTTGAAGTACTCGGTACATCTGCATGTGGCTAGTGGCTATGGTATTGGATATCACAGACAACAGAACTTGTGTCCTATTTCATAAAGTTTTACTGAACAGTGTTGCTTTAGAAATAGTATCTACTCTGCTACACACTTTTCTCTGAGTAGTGGAATAGTTTAAAACATCTCTAAAGATATTCTGCCCAAGTATATCTATTCTGTACTTTGCACTTATTCTTCCCAATTCTGCCCCTGTAATACTTAAATCATCATCTCCATATTATGGTTGAAGAAGTCAAAGGTCAGAAATACTAGCCTGGGACCTGCGCTTTGGCGTAGTAGGTTAAGCCTCCATCTCCAGTGCCTGCATCCCATAAGGGCCCTGGTTCACATCCTGGCTGTTCCTTTTCCAACCCAGTCCCCTGTTAATGGCCTGGGAAAGCAGTGCAAGATGGCCTAGGTACTTGGGTCCCTGCATCCACGTGGGAGACCCAGAAGAAGCTCCTGGTTCCTGGCTTCAGATTGGCCCAGCTCTGGCCATTGCGGCCAATTGGAGAGTGAACCAGCAGATGGAAGACCTTTCTCTATGTCTCTCCCTCTCTCTGTCTGTAACTCTGCCTCTCAAATAAATAAATCTTTAAAAAAAAAAAAAGAAAGAAAGAAATATTAGCCTGAAAGTAGTAGCTGTAGTAGGGGGTAAGAACTAAATTGTGGTTCACATCTTTTTGACTCCTGCATATTTTTCCATTTCATATGATTATAAGGAGATGTGATTAGGGATCTCTCCTAAACAAATGCTCATTTATAAATCATCTCACCCTTTTCTATCTGCATTTACTTCATATAATCAAACACATCTGCTTTTCACCTGAATTCAGGCAACTGAAATAAAAAAGGAAAGTTAAAGAGATCTGTAGCCTTTGATTTCTGAATGTATTTATAAACAGATACATCTTTTCAACATATTGGCATTAGTTGAACAATTTTCACATATTTCATAGCCTCTAGGACAAAACAGTTATATGTCTTTTTTTTTTTTTTTTTGACAGGCAGAGTGGACAGTGAGAGAGAGAGACAGAGAGAAAGGTCTTCCTTTTGCTGTTGGTTCACCCTCCAATGGCCGCCGCACCCGGTGCGCTGTGGCGGGCGCACCACGCTGATCCGATGGCAGGAGCCAGGTAGTTATCCTGGTCTCCCATGGGGTGCAGGGCCCAAGTACTTGGGCCATCTTCCACTGTACTCCCTGGCCACAGCAGAGAGCTGGCCTGGAAGAGGGGCAACTGGGACAGAATCCGGCGCCCCGACCGGGACTAGAACCCGGTGTGCTGGCGCCGCAAGGCGGAGGATTAGCCTAATGAGCTGCGGCGCCGGCCTATGTCATATGTTTTTAAATATTTTTAGCATTAGCCATGTCAATCATAGTCTGGCGGAGAATAAGAAAATATTTTTTAGTGTTTGGAAAATCCTCTAGCCATGTCTATGTGAAATCTGCACAATTTTTATAGACATTTAAAGATCTTTAAATCTTTAAATAGCATGCAATTTCAATTGCATTCTATTAATTTACAGGTCCAAATCCTGAGTTTTCTACTACATCATACAACATGCAGGTAACTAACAATGCACATTCACTTGATAAATGTGACCCTTCTGCACATATTTTGAAGAATATCAAATGTTTCATTTGTTCTTACCCCTACCTTCCTCACTCCAATACCCAAATCCAGCCAGAGTAGGTTCCTCAGATTACCTGAATTTTTGTGCCTAAAGGCTTAGTTATCCCTTACAGCAAAAGAACATTGTGTGTTTTCAAAGTATTGGAACACAATGAAAATATTTAACACTGACATTTTGTCACTTTGATGACCAAAAATGTGATTACAGATCTTGTTTTGACTTGAAATTATCTTGAAAAATGTTTATTATTAATCTGTGAATGTTCAGATATGTTAGTAGTAAAAGTGCTCTGTGGGGTGGACATTCAGCCTGGCAGTTAAGACTTCAGTGATGAAGTCACATCTCTCATCAGAGTTTCTAGGTTCTCTACCCAGCTCTAGCTCCTGACTCCAGGTGCCTGCTAATGCACACCCAGAGAAGCAATGGTGATGGCTCAAGTTATTGGGGTCCTGCCACTCACATGGAAGTTACAGACTGAGTTCCTGGCTACCAGCTTCAGTCTGATCCAGAACTGGCCATTGTGGGCATTTAGAGAGTGAGTCAGCAGTTAAAAGCTCTCTCTCTCTCTCTCTCTCTCCCTGTCTCTGTCTCTCCCTCACATAACTAAAAAAATTATTGAATATTATATTCACCCAATAAACTTATTTGGCATATTTTCAAATGACAATATAAAGCTTCCTATCTAAAATAAGAAGAATGGTAGCCAGGTTTGTGTATTCAATGATACTTGATTGTTTAGGTCTAACCTATGAAGAGCCATCACTGGACAGGTTAAAAGTAGGATATTGAGCAAGCTAAATGGGATGAGCTCTTTGATTGACCCCAAGTAGATTGTTAAGGGAAGCACAACTGTTTGAAACTAGTAGATATACAATAAAAATTCATACCTCTCATGTATTTGCAAAAATTGTGTTGATGAATTCTATCTACCATGCTTCGTTTAAACTGAAAAATAGGTGTAATGCTTACTCAAAACTTGAAATATATTGATTGATTTTTTGTCTTAAAAAATGAAATAATGTTTTTAGCAAAGTGTTTTCAAACGCACCTTAATTAGTTGGTAATTTTGAACTCCATTTATTCCGATATCAGGATCAACTGCCGCTGGGAGAGCATATCGAGAGTTTATAGCCGAATTCTCTGGAATTGATATGTTGATAACCGTTGCCGGGAATAATGGTGCATTGTCATTTATGTCCTCTATCAGAAAACGTATCTTAACCAGTCTAAATATTTCATCCGGCAAAACGGCAACCTCCACTTCATAAAAGCAACGGGCATCCAGCATGATACCGGCACATAATTTCTCACGATCGATGCGAGCGCCAGTAGTGAAGATTTCACCAGTGCCCTCTTCAATCCGAATCAGTGGCACATCTCCTGTCTTGTAGACTAGTTTGAACTGCATTGGCGATGTCAAGGACTTGTCTGGAATAAGCGACAAGTTGAGGTCTTTCAACAAGTCGCCTATCAGGACGTTTTCTGGCATTTCTTCTCGGACCGTGTAGTTCTTCTCCTGGGCGCCAGACTGAAACACGACGCATGCTAACAGGACCGCAAATATATACGTCCCGGACAACAAGTCCATACCAGGCACAATTGTGACAGTTCTTTGTATCAACCCGCAGAATACTGACAAAGAAAAGAGAGAGAGAGAGAGAGAGAGAGAGAGAGAGAGAGAAAGGGAGAAAAGAGGAAGAATAAAAATTATTAGGAAGTCAACTATAGTTAACTAAATGTTCAGTTTTAAATTAAAACCATCAAGTGAAATATTAATGAAATCAGCACTGTTAAATAATGGCAAATCTGTTTTGCAAAAAGTATTATGATTTTTATATTAAGATGAACTATAACGAATATTTTAATTGTATCAAAATAATTAAAATACATGTAATTAAAACATTTAATTCAAAATATTTGCATTAACTTAATTCAATAGTTAAGAAAAAGTATATTTGTTACCAATTACAAAATATAATTATTATTGTTTGTGATCTTACGGATTTCAATTGTAATTATTTTATTGGCAAGGAATATTTTGTACAATATTCCATATCTTCAGTTCTGGGTACAACAATGTAAAAACTGATGTGGACAAAGGACATATGAGGGACGACTCAGGTAGTTTGCATTGAAGCAAAAGAAATCCTTTGGGAGACAGCTTGATGCAACAAACACCTAAACATAAGAACTATTATGTGTAAAGGGAATTAGAGTTTTCTTTCCTGAGATTAGAAAAACGAGAATAGGTATAAGTTGGGGTGGGGGCAACTTTCAGGTCAAGATAAACAAATGCTCATTAAAGCATTTTGAAGAAAAACAAGGTTCAGGAACTAGTGAATTCCATATCTTTGTAGGTACTGATACAGAATGGGAACTGCCAGTTGAGACTGGAAATTTGTTTTAGGCGTAGAAATTTGATAGACAACATCCAAGAGTTCAATGGGAAAGCTGGGCTAGAAGAAATTCCAAGTCTGAGAATTTATGATTACAGAATGCAGAAGGTAGTCCATATGAAAATGAAACATCCACAAACTGACATAGGAATTACTCACTAAAAGAAGAGCCTGAATGGAGTTTAAAAATAAGAAATTCATTGTATTAGACATTTAAAAATTGCTAAAAGGATATTTTTTTAATGTTCTCACCACAGTAAAAAACCTGTGTAGTAATGGATTTCTCAATTAGCTTAATTGACTCTTTCTGTGATGAATACATGGATCAGAACTTCACCTTGTATCCCCAAAATATACGCAATTACTATTTGTCAATTAAAAATAAGTAAATTTTTTAAAAAAATAAAACAGGCATTTCAAAACATTTTACTGAGTTTAAAGTTAGTAAAAAAAGCAATCTCTTGGCTGCTTTTTTCCTTTATTATTTTTCACTCACTGAAATCCTTCCAAGTGTCTCAATTCTCTAATTTTTGTGGTGAAATTCAACACGAAAATTTTATTTCTTTATAGTCAGCAATATTTTTCTCATTTCCTTTCTAAAATCTCGATTTGATATAGTTTCAGTATGATATATTAAATATTTTAAATCTCTAGTATCATGAAACATTCTAATATGTTTCTAGATGTTATTTATAGGTAATATGTTATGTAAACACAAAATGAAATTTATATTGCACTGCACTAAACACTATCAGATGTTATATTTTTATTATTAAATAGGGGTTAATGCAGCTATCAAAGCATTCAGCAGTTTTAAAAGATGAGTAGACAGATGGTCATTTAAAATTCCATTACAGAAAAGTATTAATGCACATACATATCTAATTAAGGAAGTTCTCAATATTTATTGGTAATCAATAACATTAACAAAGTTTTAGTAGTGGTCTAAAAATGGGAGGACTTATGACATGATATAAATAACTTGTTATGGATACTGTGCTGTGATTATGACAGACAATGCACCATATTCAGTGTTCCACTGCATAGCTACATGTCTGCATTTTCAGAAATGTGCATATGCAAATGTTGGAAGACATAAAATGGGAGAAAAAGAAATTGTCCTATTTGCAATCAGCAATAGAATAAATACATATGTTGCAAAAAATGAGATGGCTTAGATCCCAAATAGAAGCAAGAGGCAAACTAGATAAACTTTAAACATCTCATTTTATAAATGCTGATCACATAATATTACAATTATGACTCCAACCATCTTCCTTTGTTGAGACATTGATGCCATTTATAGAACATTTCAGCTATAATAATGAGTAATACTAATGCTGAAGACATTCGTTATCCTAGTAAACAACACAAAAAGACTGTTGTCTGTGCTACAGTATTTTTAGCATCATTTGCTCAATGATGAGCATTGGGACTACCTGATACAGAAACCTGCTCAACACTAGGTCTCTTGTGAATTATTGGTCTTATACTTTGTGAGTGTGAGATTAAAAACACACCACTGACACTTACTGTGAGTTAATATGCATACATATGTGTGTGTCCTATTCACTGTGAATCTAGGACATCTGAATATGAGTGTCTATGTATGTAGTTTTATAAATACCATGCAAACATAAGCAAAAACAAAAATGGGACAGCGACAATTGGAACTAAAACTACTACTCTATTCTTATCTTACCCTTAGGTATTACACAATATTACAACTGGTAAAGGAGTACTATAAACCATATTTTCAAACACTCTATGCATGTTGCAATATCTCTATGCAAGAAAAAGAATTAGAAAGTGACCTAATTTTAAGGAGTTCTCCCATTCCACTCTAATTCTACTCTACCTTTATTATCATCATCAAATAAAGTATTGTCAAGCTACAAGGGATATTTAACTTCTAGTTAGCAATTACTTTCAGATGAATTGAATTCATGAAGGTGAAGTGGCTCATGTACCAAATGTTTACACAACAATTTTTATGTGCCAAGCACAGTTCTAGGCCCTGAGAGTACATCAGTAAACAAAACAGACAAATAATCTTGCTCCTCATTATATCTGTAGAATTGTATCTGTGAATTACATGGAATCTCTTCTCTTTGCACTAATATCACATTAACATGACAATTGATGAGAATTGTGTTGTAGTAATTATCATGCATTTGCTGTGACCCTGAGAACCTAGTGTATTAATAAATTCCTTTAAAACATAAAAAGGAACATACAAAGAAAAAAAAAAAAACAGAAAAACAGAGAACCTCAAAAAAATTGGTCCTCCTAGAGTTTATATTTGATAATGTAAATATTCTAGCTGGCCTTTAATTCACCGTTCAACCATTTTTGAACTCAACACTGCTTCTACCAAATGTGAACATACATGATTAAATAACCTCAACCCCCAGATTTTCACTCCAACTCTTACATTTATCACTTGAAAATTTATTATCCTTAAAATTAAAAGGGTTTTCCTTGAAAATGCAGACTATAATTCCTTGAATGACCAGTAGAGAAATAAGTTGCTAAATATGAATATAGTCACTTCTCAGTTTTATGGATGCATGATAAATTTTTCTCAAGTACTCAGGGAAAATATGCCTACACACATACATTTACTTGGATCTAATTTTTATCTTTCCTTATGAGAAAATAAGATAATCTTAAATTCCCTAATCCTTCCCTGGCAAAGCATTCCTACTATAGACTGAAGTTAGTTTGGAGATTGATAGAGTAAGCAAAATGAAAGGAGAGATTTAAAAATATTTACCAGTTTCAATAGAAGCTTTACTATGTAAGTGAAGCCCTTTTTTGGCAGTATCTAGTGGTTGGATAGGCAATAGTTGTATTTATAGGGCTATAATAATGATAATAAGAGAAAAATAGAAACAAAATAAGCACCTCAAAAATATAAAGATATGAAAATCAAACCTGCAGGTTCATTTTATAATCTATGAAGAATTTAATTCAGAAGGATGAATAGGTAAGAGCGCTGCACCTCTAATATGTATAATTCTAAAAGTCTCAAACCACAAAAGTGATGTTCAAATGATCTGTCAGATTTCCAAGGCATAATTTCCTTGATGTTCTTGTTACATTCTCCTTCAATTATAGTGGCATTTCCAGCTGTGATATAGATAGACAGATAGATAGATAGATAGATAATTGATTAATTGATTGATTTGAAAGGCAGAGTCATAAAAGAGAAGGAGAGACAAAGTGAGAGAGATCTTCCATCTGCTGGTTCACTCCCCAAATGGCTACAAAGGCCAGGGCTGGACTAGGTCATAGTCAGAAGCCTGGAACTCCATCCAGGTCTTCCACAAGGGTGGCAGAGACTCAAACACTTGGCCACATTCTGCTGCTTTCCCAGGCACATTAGCAAGGAGCTGGATATCAGAAGTGGAGCAACTGGGACTCAAACTAACACTTATATGGGATGCTGGCATCACAGGCAGTTGGTTTAATCCATTGCACCACAACACCTGCCCCTCATTTGTGATATGTTTAAATTAATTCTATGTGAATGAGTGATTTATATACTATAATAAAACACTTTAAAAGAATGAAAAAGCTGGGTATTAGTGAACATAAGAAATACCTGTATGCTGCTCATTATCTTAACTCCACTAAACTCCCATATTCTGATTATTTTAATGACTCATGGAGTAAAAAATATACCATTCAACAACCACTTTGATGCTCTTGTTCTCATGCAGAGGTAAATTTTCTTAAACAGCCTGGGTAAACAATAAGAAAGTTTTTGAGGCTGACACTAGGGATCTAGGACATGAAAATGTGAAACATAGCCACACTGGGAGAAAGACAAACTGGAGCAACTGATGAGCCCAATATTTTCAAGGGGACTGACCACAGCAAGAAGAGTGATTCAGGAGCATTCGGTTGCCCCTATTCGACACACACAATTCCTACACATTCTGAAATTTGAGGTGTCACAGTGAAAATTTTTTTTTTTTTCTTGACAGGCAGAGTGGACAGTGAGAGAGAGAGACAGAGAGAAAGGTCTTCCTTTGCCGTTGGTTCACCCTCCAATGGCCGCCGCGGCCGGCGCGCTGCGGCTGGCGCACCGCGCTGATCCGATGGCAGGAGCCAGGAGCCAGGTGCTTTTCCTGGTCTCCCATGGGGTGCAGGGCCCAAGCACCTGGGCCATCCTCCCCTGCACTCCCTGGCCACGGCAGAGGGCTGGCTTGGAAGAGGGGCAACCGGGAC